CGAACCCAAACCTCCTATTCACACGGTTCCGAAAAAGGTTGTCTATTTTTGCCTTCCCTTCACAGGTTCACACTCTCTTCAAATTCGCACTCAAATCAACCGACTTTGCAATGCTGCTTATCCTCATCTCAACATTCGATTTATCTTTCGCTCCTCTAAACGCATCTCTTCTTTCTTTCCTTTCAAGGATAAAGTTCGTACGTTCCTGAGATCTGTTGTCGTATGCTTATTTAAGTGTCGATGCTGTTCCGCGTCGTATGTGGGTCAAACCATGCGCCATTTACACGCCAGAGTATCGGAACACCTGGGACTCACTCCTATAACAGGACAGCCGTCATCCAGTCCAGTCATGTCTAGTATTTTCTCTCGCTTAAATACTACAGGGCACTCTGCCAACTTTGACGACTTCAAAATTCTTTCCTCTTGCTCAGACACTTGTGAATTATTGATTCACGAAAGCCTTTTTATATCAAAACTCAAACCTACTCTTAACGTCCAGGGCAGCTATATTCCGCTTAACCTTCTGTAATTTGCCGTTTTCTTGTGTCTGTTTTGTTTCCTCATTTGTATCATCCTGTCTTACATACACCCTCTTATCCTTTATTATCCTTAGTAACACAACACCTTTTAAATAGATTATAATTAGCTTATATATATTCACATCTCGTGTAATTACCTCGGGTCGGTACGACACCGAGGTCATAAATTCGGCTCCTATTTTTTTTTTTTCCATTTGTGTCGAGCCGCGCGCGTAGTCGAAGAGCCTGCGGAGGAGACGACAACTTCCGGTAAATAAGTGTTCTTCCGGAAAATTTCAAGCATCGGCCAAAGCGAAACGCAACCCGAAGCTGTCCTTGCACAAAATCCGAAGATGTGATAATTTGATAAACCAGAAGATGTGATAATTTTGACATACATGTTTAGCTGGATAACTATTCTCGAGTATATGTTGATATAATGCACAATACTTCGTATGCATAGCATGGGAATACCGCGGCCAACTTTCACTTGTTATCTATTATAATTACTGACCCGAATCAAAAGTAATTATTTTCGGCTGGAAGACTACTGTACGTTGCTGCTTGTCGGGACCGTATGACAATGAACCTATCCAACGTTACACTAGACATTTGTGAGGACATGCATATAGACATAACCATAGGCACTGTAGTGCATTGTGATAGAACAGATTTCAGTTTAATTAATCGCCCTAAATTAAAATCTCCACAAGCGGAGGTCAATTATAGTGTTCTAGTTTACATATTATCATTAATGATAAGGTTTACTCAAATAGCGTATTGGATAAACACGGGAATAGAACTTATGGTGTATTCTGCACATGCGTATATCTAGGATAAAATCCCACAAGCGCAAACGAAACTATTTCTCTATAAAATTGAACTGAAAAGACTCACAGCGACCGTTTCCAACAGTGCTTCAGGCACCCGACGACACCGTATGGGGGGCCTTTAGCACTGTCACCTTCTCATCTTGGGATGTTCACGTTATCGCGTGTACATGTCAGGGTGACGAAGATGCATTATTGCTAATAATGTCTGTGTGCACTGATGCACGCTGCATTATTTTTAATAATGTTGTGTGCTATTTTAACGCGTACATAGAATATGACGCGTATAAACATTTACCCCTGAGCCGGAATTTCCCTATACAACCAAAAAGGCCGCTCCCGTTTTTCAGTAGAACGTTAAATGAAAACTTCTCGACATTCGCTGATATAATGCAGAGAGAAAACAATAGGTTTGATGAGGGCCAGTAATTATTATCAATAAAATATTAAAACGGAGCTTTGATTAACTGATTCACCATTTATACTAGTGAACTATTAAACTATCGTGATTTACACAATTTTTGGATATTTACCAGACGATCCCCTATCCACCGACCCGAGGTTAACGCCGAGTCGGCGTCTTGTTTTATCTAGTCTGAAGATGTCTTAAGTTAAAGACGAAACGTTACATTAAAATTCTTTACAATCTTTTAAAACTGTTTAATGGCTTTGTTAAAAGTTATATGTCGGGCTCTCATATTTATTATACGAATTCGTTTTCCGCCTGGCAAATCTCTGGCAAGAATTCGCACTGTTTATGTAGATATTTGGCCGCATACACTATATTAAACGCTATATTAATACCATAGGCATATAGCGTACTGAATTACATTCAGAGTGCCAGGCGTAGTGATCTGTAGTTGATACCACCCCATTATATAAAGTTTAACACATTACTAACAAACGTAGTGGACTTTTAACGAATGCTATCCCACAGTTAATAGAAATAGGAGGCTAGCCGTAGCGTTATAGTGTATAAAACGCCGTGTTCAACAATATAATAGTTACGCAATTGATGATGATTATGTGAGGTTGGATTATGTGTTGATCAAGTGAAAGATCGTATTACAGACGCGTATTGTATACATGATATTTTCCTCTTTCGTGACTTGACTATATTTAGCTACATTTTCAGTTAAGTTGAAAAATATATAGTGAAATATGATAAAAAAAATGCATGTATTTCAAAAAGTTACAAAAATTTTTTTTCTAAAAAAATTATCAAAAATTTTCCGCTAATCATGCAATTTTTTGATGTTCCCTTTGGAGTATTCCGCCGTGAAATCGCAGGAAATGGCCATTCCAGACTTCTAAAATTCAAAATTTCCCGAGGGAGCATGCCCTGGACACCCCTAGAATATGTGGGTCTTAGAGCAGGACTAGTGAAATTTCGCTAGCTACGCCACTGCTCTCACGACCGACTGTTTGCTGGGCGTTATCTCAGGTTTTATGCGCCAAACAAGGACAAAAATATCACTGTTCGAATCAAGAATGTGTGGGTCTTAGAGCAGGACTAGTGAAATTTCGCTAGCTACGCCACTGCTCTCACGACCGACTGTTTGCTGGGCTTTATCTCTGGTTTTATGCGCCAAATAAGGACAAAAATATAACTGTTCGAATCAGCGTAAACCTCTGTATTTATGTATGGTAAATTGATTTCAAAATTGATTTCTATTCCAGCGATTCATGGCTTTTGAAAGACAAGCCGCACAAAATAATCCTTTCATGTTTTCAGAGTTTCTTTTTTCGAGGAAAGTTTTCTTCCAATTAATCTCGGACTTTGCCTTATCTCTGTTTTTTCAGTCTTTTATGCGCCCAATAAGGACTAAAATACCACCGTTCGATTCAACGTAAGAAATTGTACTTACGGATGTCAAATGTATTACTAAACAACAGTATTCTAGCGATTTATGGCCTTTGAAAGTCAAGTGAAATTGTATTGTTGAAAAATCGCTCAAAATTATTAAACTAATTAAAAATGCAATCATTTGACCTTCATAAATTCGGTATCGTTGGTTTTCTCGTTTTCGACCGTGTACCAATGGATTCGTCTTACTTTTCGCTTCGTTGTTATCCCCGAGCCGACGGCGCGAAGCGCCGTGCGAGGGTACTAATTCCCCCCGGCTATTTACACCCGGGGAAACGAAAGCATTAGCGGAGTCTAAAGTTCATCAATTATCGCGGGCGCTCACCAACGGTGTTGAGTGGGTGGTCATCACTGATCTCAGAATATGGCTGTTTGCCAGGAGTGAAGAAGGCAAAAATATAAAAAAATACATGTAAGAAAGCTTGGAAAATCGTTTCACGTAACAAATTGTACAACTTTTTTGCAATTTTTAAACGTAAACATTGATAAGAATTGATATTGTATTATAAATCCTAAAGTATAGGGCAAGTTTGCTTCAATTGTTTATGTATGACTTTGTATTTAATAATATAGACTTTGTTCTTGATGTTCAAGTCTTTCCTATGCATTGTTTGCGAAAGTCTCTTAGTTAAATTAACTTTTGTAGAAGTTCATGATAAAAAGGAAAGCAAATTATTTTCATTAGCGTCCTGTACGAATTAAATTTGTTTCATTTCAAAGTGCGAGTAATAAGTTGAAGCTCGAGTTGAGAAGTTTATAAATATCGGCAAAAAGCAGTTAATTTCAATTCACATTTAAAAACGTTTTACGTAGAGTTTCGTTTTGAATTTTACATTAAAATAAAGCCCATAGAAACCAAAATATTATACCTACTTTATATATTTTAGAAATTGATAGTTCTGTATTTAAAAGTGTTCAAATTTCATCTATTTTTTCCCGGTTTGTACAAAAAATTTAAAAAACAATATCGTGTTGCCATGACTAACATGACGTGGCAACGCGAGCTTGAGTTCGGTGTGGTTCAGTGTTGGCGTAATTACGAATACTTCATGTTGAAACAATGTTTGGAAAATATAGGCGAGGGGTTGTTGCATGCATGTATTTCTAGTAGTATTTTGAACCCAAAATAGTCTATTTTGAAGGTTTTTAAGTGCAGTTTTAACAAGCGAAATTGTTTTTTGACAAATCGCTCAAAATAACTAAACTAATTAAAAATGCAGTACGTTTGATCCTTAACAACTTTGATATCGTTTGCTTTCTCTATTCGGCCGTCTACCAGTATATTCGTCTCACTTTTCTCTTCTTTTTGATGCTATTTTGAGCCCAAAAATTTTATTTTGAAGGCTTTAAAACGCAGTTTTGATCCTAACGTACTGGCGACCGACAAGAGAATGTAGGCCATGTAGCATGCTAAATATAACTTTACTTGGATTTATGAAATAAATAATATTAAGAACGGGCTGAGTTGTTGTACTTGTTATCAGAATAGGTGGCCTTAGGGACAGCTTGGCAAATGCTAATGAGGGCATTTGCATAACCTATCTTATATAAGTTGTTTACGCTAGTAGCTCATTCTCAGTCGTGACATTTAGTCGTTCTCATCCCCCCTCACCCACGGGCGTTCTTCGTCGTTGCCACCCCCTCCCCTCATCCACGCCCATCCGTAGCCTTCCCGGAGGAAGCCCGCAGCCAGCCCCGTCGCGTGGCTCGGTACCCGTCGATTGCCCTATCTCAGTTAAGTTCCTGTTCCTGTTCATGATCTGGCACCTCGCGCCAGCCTCGCTGGGTTAACGACCCAGGTACCTCACATTCCATCGTCTGTCTCATCGTTCTTCCCGTCCTGTGTTCGCGGCAATCAGCGTCCACAATAGGCCCAAATCTCGTGTGCGTGTCATATGTCGTTCGTTATACAGTGTCTCTTTCGGAGCGGGTCTTGGTGCCCTTGCTCATCTCCACTTCCTTAGGAAGTGTGATTGTGGTACTATAGGGGAGAGGTGTTTGTTCTCGGCACTCGAGAAAAGCTAGGTTAAACGTAAAGACGTTACCAAGTCGTCGATACCTAATTTGTGAACGTGGCCATGACTAAACGCAAACTCTCGACCCACAGTCATGGCTTCGACCGAACTTCCTCTCCAGTGGTACTACAAACCGCCAAGTCACTTATCAGATGTTTTGCCATTTACGATCGAAGCGAGCTTGTTAATTGCACATGTGGGCACCGCATTTTAGTACTGTGTCTGGTTCTGTTACGTCTCGATTCATTTGAGAAGCCATATAAACAACTTGTAAATAGTATGGCTACTTTTACCAATTTGTAATTTCAAGTTTTTCAGGTTGCTGGCTATGCCATGTACCTGCCATTTGGAAATTTTAATAAATCATTCAATCATCCTTCGTCATTCTGTGGAATTTTCATTACAAAGAGCAAGCTATTTTGGGTAGTGTATAGATTTCGTCCTATTTTATAAGGCCAATCAATCGAAATCAAAATTAGTCAATAATTTTCCATTTGAAACCATGCACGTACTACTTTAAATACCACGTACTACTTTTAAATGCTAATTTCAAGTTTTCAAGAAGAATTAGATTGTTGGGCGGAGTAGGCCACTCAATATTAGCTTATTATAGAAATAAATAGGAGAAATTCTTTCCATATGGGGGGAAATATGCTATACAGGGTGTATAGAGAACTGAACAGATTTGAAATTGCTCTCAATTTCACAAAACAGATATTAATATTCAGTTTTTTTATGTATATAGCTTCTTTGGGTAATTATAATGTAGAATAATGAAAAAAAATTCTCGAACTCAAATTTTGTGAACCAGGGGATGTTTATTTTCCAACAAACTAAAAGTGGCTTGCGCACGAAATTTAAAAGCTTTAATCATATTTTGAGTTAATGGATGGAAAATTTGTTGGGTTTTTAATTACTGTACAAAATTTCAGACATTTTGCTTTAGTTCAAGCCCTTATGTATTCATTTTTTCCTAAAAATCAACCTTTCGCATGCTTAAATAATGCCTTTATCTAATTTGCATATTGCTGTCATACGCGTGAATAGTTAAAGGGGCTTAAACTAAAGCAAATTGTCTTAAATTATGTACAGTGATTAAAAACCCAACAAATTTTCTATCTATTAACTCAAAATATGATTAAAGTTTTTAGATTTTGTGCGCAAGCCATTTTATTTTGTTGGAAAAGACACTCCCCACCCTGGTTCACAAAATTTGAGTTCGAGACATTTTTTTCATCATTCCACTTTATAAGTACCTGAGAAGCTATATAATTATATCAAAAACTGGATACTAATAGCTGTTTTGCGAAATTGTGAGCAATTTCAAATCTGTTCAGTTTTTTTTTATACACCCTGTATAGTAGTCGAAAATGGATGAAAAATATAAATGTTATAAGAACCCCTCTCGACAACAATTTTGAAAAGTTCGCACGGAAATTTTTTTTTGATAAGTCAGGTACAATGGGAAAAGGTTGGGCAAATTTTTTTCCGCCCCGTCTATTTTTCATTCCTGTAACTTGAATGTTAATGTAATAAGGTAATAAATTTTATTCACTCATCTTCATTTCATATAAAACAATACATAAACAGCTACGGAGAATAAAAAATGATAGGAAACAGTTAACCAGATTAAATAATAATATTCGCGGTCAAGGGCGTAAGAAGCATGAAAAGTTTGTGAGGGGGACGGTTTGGAGGAGCACGGGGGAAGTTGAAGGAAATATTAATAATTGCAAACATATAAAATGCCATTTGAACAACATTGTTCACAAAGGCAAAGGGCTCTTTGCCCCCGGAAACAGGGCACTTTTTGTTTTTCTAACTTGGGACGCCTTGGCCCCCTTGCACCCCTCCCCCGGTTCGTACGCCCCTGTGCTTGGCAATAAGTAATAAGATGAGTCCAGGGTATCCTAAAGGTAAAAACTAATATGGAGGATACCCTGTAATTTACATAATATTATACAGCACTGGATGAGAAAAGAATATCAATACAAAAAACAAAGATATTAGCGAATAGAAAAATTAAAAATTAAAATTAACAGCTCTACGTATCGATGATGTGTTGCTTCATTTAGTCAGAAAAGTTGCGTAGGAAATCAAGACTAATTGAACTGTTATAGTACAGTATTTCTACAAAACTCAAAATCATTTAATTAGAAAATGGAAAATTGTAGGCTAGACAAAATTTGCATAGCCACATGTTATCAGAGCAGGCATGTAGAAAATCAGCTGAGTCAAAGGACATATAAACCTAGGATGAATTAATAAATTGCAAGTAGAACATAACATTAGAACCCTTTGATTATTTCAAATACAAGAACTGCAATTATTACAATTCACAGGAATAATTGTATAGTAATAGCCTGGTTTCGAGTACAATTTGGATATCACATGCACCAGCGAGTTCTTTGAAAAAGGCACGAGTGTATGTTTATCCAAATTTCACGAGAAACCATGCTATGACCTATCAATAATTTATATAAAAATGTTCGAGACAATTGTAGTTTTAACTTACGTATAATACAGCGAACATTCCACTAGCAAAGTTTTCCTGGCTTTGTTATATCACATTATACAACGCTAACAGCTTGAAAATTCCACTAAACAGTTTAAGTTTTGTTAGTCTTGTTTAAGGATGGGGCTTTTCCATTTAAGATTAAAGATAAAAAGCCACATTTTCTAAGCTAAGTCAACTTTTATTTTATGGAGCGCCGCGCCATGTCTGTTTGGTTTTAAAGCAATCTATGACAGTTATTTCTTTAAATTAAACTACTTTAAACTGATTGGTTGATTTTATCATCACAATGTCTTTCCACCAATCAGATAAGTTTGTTACAGATTTTTGCACTGTGTTTACAGAATATTGCACTGTGATTACAGAAAATTGCACTGTGATTACAGGAATTGCACTGATGTTTGGGATTAACTGCACTGAAATCAACCAACCAGAGTCGAGTAATATTTTTATGTATATTAATATATATGTAACTAGCCATGAAGATTCAAATTAGATATGATATACCGTACTAAGGTAATTTAATCTAATATACACAACAACAACAACACATGCATATGAGTTAATTAAATAGCAATGTAGTATCAGCGTACAGGGACTTGCCTATCGTTTACTACCAAATTGTCCAGTACAAAATGTGCAATTTTGCGTTGGTTCTTTTGCTTCTTGAAGTCGAAGCAAAATATAATTCCATTTCTTTATGATTTCTTCAGCGACATCTTCACAGACGAATATGCCAGCGGCTGTCACCGTCACCAAGAGTCACCAAGAAGGCTTTGGTGCTGACTTCCTACTGTATGTTGTCTTCAAATTCCGATATGTCTAGCTTGCTACTGCAATTCTGTTCCAAACTACGTTATATTTTTGCTGAGCTTATCGACCTTGAGATTTAGATTCTCAATGGCAGAGACTCGGCCTGATCGGAAATGGCGGAGTCAAAATTGGACTTCAAATGATCAATTTGAATTTTAATTTAATGAGCTTCCCATGACGCTTGAGTTGACAAATATACCATTCAGGTGGCCTTATTGAGATTTACAGTACCTTATAGATGTTTTCGCAACACAAAATTACACGTCCGCCTTAGAGGATCAGTTGTCTCATAAACGGGAGAGAGGCACAGTCAGCTCACTCTATTTACTGATTATTAAGTTATATCACTCTATTTTACTGAATATTTAATTTGCTCACTCTCATTGACTCTCAAAGAAGGGGCCCAAACGGTACCTATAATACACGAGAAAGAGACTTGGAGCAATTCCAGTTAGTTTCGGTTGAAACATCTACGTCGTCGTGGGAAAATATGTGAGAGTGATTACGTCGATGGGGCCACAAAAAATTAATAAGGATGTATTTAAGCAAGATATAAAAAAATGGCAAGCATTCTTTACTAATAGTTTTTATTAGTGCCTTTCGAGAAAGAGTTGAAAAGCATATCATGCCTACGCAACCTCATTCAACAATTGCTAAAAAATAAACCAGCTATAATACCTGTTTTGTTCTCTGGATTTTCTTTCTCTGTTGGCGAAACAGCTAAAAAGGTAGAGTTAGATTTATAAGAAAAATTCTTTTGAATTCTTTTGTTATACAATTTCTCTCTCCTACGATCCAAAAGTTGACCTCGCGTGGAAAATATGGCTTTTATCGTTATTTTTAAATGAAAACTAACAAAACTAACAAAACTAACAAAACTTACACTTTTGAGTGGAATTTTCAAGCTGTTAGCGTTGTATAATGTGATATAACAAAGCCAGGAAAACGTTGCCAGTGGAATGTTCAATATGAACGTAAGTTAAAACTATAATTGTCTCGAAATATTTACTTAAATTACTAATAAATAATAGCATGGTTTTCTCGTGAAATTTGAATATAACATGCACGAGTGAGTTTTTCAAAGACCTCAAAATAGTATGAGTCAGAAGGACACTATTTGAGGTCATTCAAAAACTCAGGATTGTACGTTTATCCAAAATATCACGAGGAACCATGCTATTACTTATTAATAATTTAAATAAAAATGTTCGAGACAATTGTAGTTTTAGCTTCCGTTTATAGCGAACATAGTCCACTGGCAAAGGTTTCCTGGGTTTGTTATATCACATTATACAACGCTAACAGCTTGAAATTTCCACTCAACACTGTAAGTTTTCCATGTTAGTCTTGTTTAAGGTAAAGACTTTTCCGCTTAATTAAAAATCAAGATAAAAGCTGTATTTTCCACGCTAAGTCAACTTTTATTTTATGTTGCGCGGCTCCATGTCTGTTTGGTTTTAAAGCAATCTGTGACCGCGCGTTAATTCTTTAAATTAAACTGCTTTACACTGATTGGATGATTTTATCATCACAATGTTTTTCCATCAATCAGATCAGTTTGTTATAGATTTTTGCACTGTGAGTACAGAAAATTGCACTGTGATTACAAAAAATTGCACTGTGATTACAGAAAATTGCACCGCTGTCTGAGATTAACTGTGCTGAAATCAACCAATCAAAGTCGAGTAATATTTTTATATATGTTATTATAAATGTAACTAGTCATGAAGACTCAAATTAAAATATGATATACTAAGGTAATTTAATACACACAACAACAACAACAACAACACATGCATATGACTTAGTTAAACAGCAATATAGTTTCAGCGTACAGGGACTGGCCTATCGTTTACTACTAACTTGTCCAGTACAAAATGTGCAATTTTGCGTTGGTTCTTTTGTTTCTCGAAGTCGAGATAAAATATATTACTGTTTCTTTATTATTTCTTCAGCGACATCTTCACTGACGAATATACCAGCGGCTGTCACTGTCTTGCAGATTTAGGACAGACTCTTTATTCTCCAATCAAAAAGGTTTTTACATTATCGCTGTTCTAGGTCTAGCGCGGAGGATGGAACCATCGATATTCCGTTTACGATATGTAGGACGCGCTTGTACGACCGGTGGCTTTCTTCCGAGATTGAGTCTCCTCTCAAGATTTTTGAAGCTTTCGCTTCACCTTGTTCCCCTTGTCTCTTTGAAATCGCCCTGTCTTTCATTTATTCTATATTGTTATGTCTATTCTATATTGTTATGTCTACTCTACCTTTTAAAATACGTCAGTTTAGTTTTTATATTCGATATTTCAATATCAAGGTTTCGTGTCACATGCTAAATTACTCGGATTAATCATCTCCGAAGACCTCAAGTGGGTTCTTCATGTTGATTTCATTTGTGAGAAAGCTGCGAAGCGTCTGCATGCTCTACGATTATTAAAGAGATCTTCCATTCCATCAAGCATGTTAGTGCGAGTGTTTAATACATGCATTAGACCAATTTTAGAATACTGGTGCGAAGTATGGCATCACAGTTTGCCCCAGTATTTAAGTGATCAGATCGAAAGGATCCAACGCAGAGCCCAACGAATAATCTTCCCAGATTGTTGTTATGATATTACAATGGACCGCGCCGGTGTGGTGTCGTTATTCTTACGGAGAGAGACGATGTGTAAGAGATTTTTTGAACGAATGCGTACTGACGAAGCACATAAGTTACATTCCCTTGTCCCTTCCAATCGGGATACAGAATATTCCCTTCGTGGTGGTAATAACAACCTATCAATACCTAGGTGTAGAACTAATAGACATGCAAATAGTTTCATAATTTCTGGAAGTAATGCTTTTAACATTAGTAAAACTTAATATATTAACCATGTAATTATTACTATAATAATTCTTAATCTAATTGTATTATGTATTTATCCTTTGAAACTTGTAAACCGATGTAATTCAGTCCTTGACTGCTAAATTGGTCTTCTCATTAAATCTTATTAATGTAAAAAAAAAATAATTCTCGAGTTACCAAGAAGGCTTTCGTGCTGTGTTCCTATGTTGTCTTCCAATTCCGATATGTCTTGCTAACTCTGTTGCAAACTGCTTTTAAGATTCGTTATATTTTTGCTGAGCTTATCGACCTTGAGATTAAGATTCTCATTGGCAGAATTGCAGTGGGTTTTCGACGATTCGGCCTGATTGGAAATGGTGGAGTCAAAATGGGACTTCAAATGATCAATTTGAGTTTTAATTTAATGAGCTTCTCAATGACGCTCGACTTGATCCTCATCACTCTATCCGACACTGAGGATGATCTCAATCGTCATTGAGAAGCTCATAATGAGCATTAATGAGCTTCCCAACGTTGATAGATATACCATTCACATCGTCCGCAGTGTCGGATAGATTAATCTTTTTTTTATTCTCAGGTGGCTTTATCGAGATTTATCTTAGATGCTTTTGCAGCACAAAATTACACGTGCGCCTTATGTGGTACTTCCACAGTAGATCAGTTATCTCATTCTCCACATTCTTTATTTTAGTGGGTATATACGAGAAATACATATGCACGCATAAAACCCTCGCCTTGCTGGGAAGATTATGTTTTCTGAACATGAAGTATTTAAAGGAGCTGTCATGGTAACAAGACAACTACTTTAAATACATCTTTGCAATATGCAAAACAGATGCGTTATCCTGATCAGACTTAATATTAATAAGAGGTGTTAGGGCTCTTCTCTACACTTCCTAATGAAATAAGCAGAGGGAGAGAGAGATCTGGAGCAATTCTAGTTAGCTTCGATTGGAACATCAACGTCGTTATTGGACAATGTGTAGTAGTAATTACGTCGATGGGGCAGCTAAAAGGAGGCAAGATATAATAAAAATGGCAACCATTCTTCACTTAATAGTTTTAATTAGTGCCTGTCGAGAAAGAGTTGAAAAGCATATCATGCGTACGCAACCTCATTCAACAATTGTTAAATAACAAACCAACTATAATACCTGTTTTGTTCTCTGGATTTCCTTTCCCTGTTGGCGAAACAGCTAAAAAAGGCAGAATTAGATTTACATTCTGTTGAATTACTTTGTTATGCAATTTCTCTCTCCTCCCATCAATTCCTTTACTCGTCTTCCTTCCATTTACCAATTAGATATGGAAAGAGAGCAATTCTCGGTTGTCTCGGATGGAACATCTACATCGTCATTTGAGATTACGTTAGAGTGATTACGCCGTCGTCATTATAAGAGATTATGTCGGAGTGATTACGTTGTCATCAGAGTGATTACGTTGACGGGGCCGCAGAAATTAAGTAATGATAAAAATTACAGGCCTTCTTAACAACTATATCAAAGATATACAAGCAAAAGCTTGTTAAATCTCCTTATTTAACAACCAGATAAAGGTGAGAATCCCTATCGAACAGCTAGATTTATGAGCTTGAAATTTCCAGAGGGTGACATAGCAACAGTTCGCGTGCCTGGATCATTTTAATGGATATATAATGCTCATCATTCTTACGATTATATACTATACTTCCTCACCCTCCCAAATATTAAGTTAGCTCACTCCTATTTACTGATTATTAAGTTATCTCACTCTCATTTACTGAATATTTAATTTGCTCACTCTCAATGACCCTCAAAGAAGAGGCCAAAACGGTACCTATAATACCAGTCATGTGCGGTCATTCATTAAATTACAACGCTATTGAAAATGTTAAAAATATAGATTAGATATGTACCGCCATATAAAGAGGACTATAGAAGTAACGTTTCATTGAATGAATCTAATCATTTCATCTTTAGCGCCAAACGTATTCTCATTTAAGTAGCAGGAAGAAACAACATGCAACAAAATACAGAACGTAAAGAACTGCAAAACATCCCCCAAACCAGCTTTGAACAGACATTCGGTTAACATTCGTTAAACTGGCTCGGAGTAACAACAACAGGTTTTTTGTGCGAGCATTTGCAATACGCAGGATTGAGGATTTCAGCCAAGAAAAACCCCAAGAGAGCTAGCATCAGTGTAACGTTTTACCGGTATAACAAATGCACTCAGTTCTTACCATTTGGTTTACCAACGTTCAGGAAAGCACCAGCCTTGCTAATTTTTCTTCCACTTCTTGCAAAGCAGATATAAAGTCCAGTATCAGAGATGCTGACATTCTGTATCTCATACACGTCGGAAAGAGTGTCGCTCCTGTTTTGCCACCAAATAACTGGCTCAGGGGAACCAGCTGCTTTGCAATAAAATCTCGCGTACATTCCAACTGTCAGGGAAAGATTTTGGGGCGGCGTGAAAATACACGGTGGATCTGAAAATAGGATAATAAAGCAAAACTGTAGTTACTATCATATGATTCCTGATTTAATAACGACCTACTGTAAGCTGGGTATCCATATTTTCAAAATGCAACCAACTGCTTAGGAGGAAATGGTTGGTTGGTTAACATTCTATGGTAATAAACATTAACCATTTTTTTTCTATGCACAAAAGTAAAGAATTATGCATATTTACCTCTGTAGTTATCTAATTTCTTGTCGGTGAATGCCAAAAAATGTATTTTGACATAATTAAATTTCAAAATGAGTGCAATTATCCTACACCTTCGACAAGTATATCACGTAAGAAATTAACATCATTGGCAATATATAGTCCGAAATACTAACTAAAACAGTCCCCCCCCCCTGCATAACAGTAGTATAGGGAAGAGGGATTCTGGCGCGGGTGGTGCACTAAGCACCACCAATGACATCATTACACTGCATTTCATATCAATTACACGCGCTTGTAATGTATTTAAAAGAGTGTGGACCAATGATTACTAGCATTTTAGAAAATGTTTACAGTTTAAATTAATACTTTGGTAATATTTATTCCCACATATATTCCTTCTAACAAACTGACTGGATTTCAACACATTCTCGATATATATTCTACTAATGTTATTGTAATGCTTGTGGGACGTAGATGTTGTATTTATACGTATGCGCAGTGAGAATTGTGTATTACGAAAATTCCGGACTTGTAGGAATTTGCAAAGATTCCGGGGGGAATTCTGCAGAGAATATCCCAGTTTATTCAAAATTCCCGAAAATCATAAACGACAATACAAATAAAGTATAAGAGGTGTATTTGAATTTATCGTATTACAAGGTTTTGTTAGATTATTTTTGAGTGTCCACTGCTTCAACACCATCCTTGGTTTTCCCTGGGGATGTGTTCACCATGTTTAGGACTATTAAAAAAGGAATAATAAAAATCCAAACATACATATGAAAATTTTTAAACAGCAGTTGCTAAGTTGCTAAGCCCAAGTTTTTTCGTTGTCAACGCCGTTATTATGGTCGATATTTGCATATCACAGAGTCATTAAAAAGAGACTAACCCGCCCATCCCGTGTGGACATATACATTTTTTTATTTCACCCAGCGAGCTTGAGACAGGAAAAAATAGTAACGAACAAAGAGTTATTACGGATTATATGCAAGATATATCGAAATTTTGTCGTTTGTGGCTCTCTAAAACGTATAGCACCAAAGATATTAATAACTGCCATCAATCGATTACAAGCAAAATTTTAATCTCTTAAGTGCTTATTATGGATATATATATGGATTATTTAGTACCTTAAAATCAAGCGCGTGACTTTGCAGGCAAAAGTTCGGACACAATTTCACTTTTAAAATACATTTATTTCTTCAAAATGTTTTCCAATTTATGCTTCTAATAATATATCGAGCCCCAATAGGCTCGCAGACAAGCTCGATTAGCTCGGAGCCGAGGTCCATAGTTTCGAAGCCAAGCTCCACAGGCTAGGATCCGGCTCGAACGGCTTGGGGCCGCGCTCAAATGGCTCGGAGCTAAGCTCGAACGTCTAAGTGCCGAGCTCCATAATCTCTAGGATTCAATGATTCAATCTATGATTCAATTATTCAGTCTTATGATTCAATTATTCAGTCTTATGATTCAATGATTCAATCTTATGATTCAATGATTCAATCTGTGATTCCATGATTCATTCTATGATTCAATGATTCGATCTTATAATTCAATGATTCAATCTTATGATTCGATTCAATCTTAGGAAGAAGATGAGTTCGATAAGAAGATAAAGATAAGGAAGAAGACAAGGAAGATAAAGATAAGGATAAGGAAGATAAGAAGATACAGATAAGGATAAGGATAAGGAAGATAAGGATAAGGAAGATAAGAAGAAAAAGATAAGGATAAGGATAATGATAAGGAAGATAAGAAGATAAAGATAAGGATAAGGAAGATAAGAAGGTAAAGATATGGATAAAGAAGAAGATGAGGAAGACAAAGATAACGATAAGAAAGAGAGAGATAAGGAAGATAAAGATGAGGAAGATAAAGATGAGGAAGATAAGAAGATAAAGATAAGGAGGATAAAAAGATAAAGATAAGGAAGATAAGAAGATAAAGATAAGGATAGAGAAGAAGATAAGGAAGATAAGGATAAGGATAAGGAAGAAGATAAGGAAGATAAAGATAAGTAAGATAAGAAGAAAAGGAAGATAAGAAGATAAATATAAGGATAGAGAAGAAGATAAGGAAGATAAAGATAAGGATAAAGAAGAAGATAAGGAAGATAAGGATAAGCAAGATAAGAAGAGAAAGAATACTGGATAGATGAATAAATGAATATATTGAACGAATACACCAAATTATGATAAGATACAGCTAGACGTTCGTGGTGTGAACACAAAAATTTGAACCAACTCAACGCGACGACAGTTGTATTTCTTGTTCGCATTTAATTGTCAAGTTTCATCGACTTTGAGTTGGTTCAAAATTTTTTGTATTCGGTGTATTCGTCCTATATATTCATTTATGCATCTATCCAGTATTCTTCCTTTTCTTATCTTGCTGATCATTATCTTCCTTATCTTCTTCCTTATCATTATCTTTATTGTCCTTATCATCTTCTCTATCTTTATCTTCTTATCTTCTTTATCTTACTTATCTTTATCTTACTTATCTTTATCTTCCTTATCTTCTTCTCTTTCCTTATCTTTATCTTCTTAACTTCCTTATCTTTATCTTTTTATCCTCCTTATCGTTATCTTCTTATCTTCCTCATCTTTATCTTCTTTATCTCCATCTTCCTTATCTTTATCTTTATCTTCCTCATCTTCTTTCGTATCCTTATCTCTATCTTCTTATCTTCCTTATCCTTATCCTAATTTTTATCTTCTTATCTTCCTTATCCTTATCTTTATCTTCTTATCTTCCTTATCCTTATCTTCCTTATCCTTATCCTTATCTGTATCTTCTTAACTTCCTTATCCTTATCTTTATCTTCCTTATCTTCTTCCTTATCCTTATCTTTATCTTCTTATCGTACTCATCTTCTTCCCTAAGATTGAATCGAATCAAAAGATAGAATCATTGAATTATCAGATCGAATCACTGAATCATAGATTGAATCATAGATTGAATCATAGATTGAATCATAGATTGAATCATTGAATCATAACATTGAATCATTGAATCATAAGATTGAATCATTGAATCATAAGACTGAATAATTGAATCATAGATTGAATAATTGAATCCTAGAGATTATGGAGCTCGGCACTTAGACATTCGAGCTTAGCTCCGAGCCATACGAGTTGGACTCCAAGCCGTTCGAGCCGGATCCGAGCCTGTGGAACTTGGCTCCGAAACTATGCAGCTCGGCTCCGAGCCAATCGAGCTTGTCTCCGAGCGTATTGGGGCTCGGCTCTGAGCCAATCGAATTTGACTCCGAGCCTATGGAGCTGGCCAATATCTCGGATGATGAAAGCAGCCACAATGATGAAAGCAGCCACGACGACGAACCGGATAGTGAAACGTCTCAAACAAGTGACGATATATATTAGAAGCATAACTTTGTAAAACATTTTGAAGAAATAAATGTTTTTTAAAAGTGAAATCTTGTGCGAAATTTTGCCTGCAAAGTCACATGCCCGATTTTAAGGTAATAAATAATCCCTATATGTCCATAATAAGCACTTAAGAGATTAAAATTTTGCTTGTAATCCATTAATGACAGTTATTAATGACTTTGGCGCTATACGTTTTAGAGAGCCACAAACGACAAAATTTCGATATATCTTGCATATAATCCATAATAACTCTTTGTTCGTTACTATTTTTTCCTGTCTCAAGCTCGCTGGGTGAAATAAAAAAATGTATATGTCCACACGGGGTGGGCGAGTTAATAACTTTTTAATGACTCTGTAATATGCAAATATCGACCATAACAACGGCGTTGACAACGAAAAAACTTGGGCTTAGCAACTTAGCAACTGCTGTTTAAAAATTTTCATATGTATGTCTGGATTTTATTATTCCTTTTTTAATAGTCCTAAACATGATGAATACATCTCCAGGGAAATCCAAGGATGTTGTTGACGCAGTGGACACTCAAAGATAATCTAATAAAACCTTGTAATACGATAAATTCAAATATACCTTTTATACTCTATTTCTATTGTCGTTTATGATTTTGGGGAATTTTGAATAAACTGGGATATTCTCTGCAGAATTCCCCCCGGAATCTTTGCAAATTCCTACAAGTCCGGAATTTTCGTAATACACAATTCTCACTGCGCATACGTATAAGTACAATTAACATCTACGTCCCACAAGCATTACAATAACATTAGTAGAATATGTATCGAGAATGTGTTGAAATCCAGTCAGTTTGTTAGAAGGAACATATGTGGGAATAAATATTACCAGAGTATTAATTTAAACTGTAAACATTTTCTTAAAATGCTATAATCATTGGTCCACACTCTTTTAAATACATTACAAGCGCGTGTAATTGATATGAAATGCAGTGTAATGATGTCATGGGTGGTGCTTAGTGCACCACCAGCACCACCCGCGCCAGAACCCCTCTTCCCTATACTACTCGTAACAGAGATTCATTCATTTTTCACATTTAAACGTAGTACACCAATTGGTTGGTGCTAGCAGAATTCTGAATCGCATTGTCTCATCATTAGCTAGTAAATTTTCAAAAATTTTATGGAAGAGTATGCCCCAAAGAAATCACTTTCACATAGGAAAGGAAGGCCTAACTTGCTTTTTGACAGCGGTACGTAAAATCAGAGGCGTAGCCAGCATCTTTGGTGAGGGCATAGAAAATCCAGAAGACAGGGACTGGAAACGCTGTGGCAAAAGCAATTATGCTGGTGCGACATCCGTGATGCGCTTAAATCACGTAACAATTATCCGTTGCCCCAGCAACCCACTACTGTTTGAAAATAACTGACACCTAGCCTTCTTTTTAATTCTTTTTAGTAATGGATGCCTTACCAAACAGTGTTTTCGAGAAAGAAAGGATTTGTAATTGTCAATAAAGTGGAAGGTAAACGGAAATTTCCAAATTCAAATTACAGATCAAGGAAAACTTCGAAAAGATAACTTCAATCAATTTATATAACGTAATTGCAGTGAAGCAAAACTGAATAAATATACGTAAACTTAATCAAAGAAAACTAAAATACGCAAACAAACCTGAATCGTGCCTGAAAGTCCACCCCAATTTGGAAATCAAAATTTTCGAAAATTCTTTGCACTCGTCTCTGGATAAACAGATCCGTTTTATAAAATTTACACATAATGTCATGTAGGTACCTAACTCTCATTTCGGTGTAGATTATTTAAATAATCTTCCACTATAATGATTAAACAGCTGTAAAACAGCAGACAAGTACCGGTCCACAATACATCAATATATTATCGTTTATTTGTTTTCGAAGCAACAGGCCATTCAAGGCACATGCGCAAGCGTCATGCAAGCGCATCACGGATGGCACACGCACAACATTAGGCGTTTCCAGTCCCTGTCTTTTGGATTGTCTATGGTCAGGGTAGCCAGCAAAAACATAGGTGGGCCCAGGCTTTACTTATTTTGATAGGATAAATTTTCAGTGGAGGGCCAAATTTTTCCAGGAGGGAGAGCAGGGCCCCCTGGTTACGCCTCTGCGTAAAAAGCGGATGCTTAATTTTTAGTAATCGGACTAGAAATACATGCAAACAGCAATCCGTCGGCCATATATTTTCCAAACATTGTTTCAATATGAAGCCTTCTTAATTACACAAAGACTGAACGCAGGCTCGCCTTGCTCGCGTAACGTCAGCCATAGCTATTAATCTTTTGTATAAAACTGCAAAGAATGAATTAAACATGAATACTTTTAACTAGAGAACTATCACCACTATCAATGTCTATAATACATAAAGTGTATAGGTATGTTATTTTCATTCTATGGGCTTCATTTTAATGCAAAGGTCATCATGGTTCTGTTCCTAAAATATTATCAAATGTTCATTGAAATTAACAGCTGATAGGTTTAATTTGCTGATCAACTTATTACTCGTACTTTGAAATGAAATAAATTCAATGAAGAAAAATAATTTTCTCTCCTTTTAATTAAGCTAAGAGCTTCAACAAAAATTTAAACAACTAATTTAAGAAACATTTGGATACAGATGCAATCAAAAGAAAAGTTGTACATGTTATAGCAAAACTGGAACAACCGTGAAAAACAAAGACAAAGTCAAAGACAAAGTCATACATAAGCAGTCAAAACAAACACTCTCATGCATGCTATACATCATAGGCAATTTCCATTATTGACTAATTTTACAACTAGAACAACTAGGCAAGGAAATGCAAATAAATCACTACAGCTAGAAAGAGCATACTAAAATGAGTAAAATTGCAAAGCTTGGTTGCGAAATGTTGTATTGCGTGCGAAAATTGCTACCATTTTCGGCCAAAATGTGATAGCAATTTGCGCACACAATACAAAAGTATACAAAATTTGCAAATTTTGGAAGGCTATATTTTCTGCATTTTACGACATTTCGCAATCAAATTTTGCAATTTTACTTATTTAGCATGCCCTTTCTAGCTTTGGTGACTTATTTGCATTTCCTTGCCTAGTTTTATAATTAGTCTATAATGGGATTTGTCTATTCTTAATTAATGTTTTCGTTTAAAATTTCAAAAAGTATTTTACAATTTGTTGTGTGAAATGATTTTCAAAGTTTCTTATATGTTTTTTATTTTATTTTTGCCTGCTTTACTACCGGGGCCTATTCGAAATACGTTTAAGTCACTGACAACCGTTTAACTCGCTATTCGCCGTATAAAATTTAAACGCTTGATAATTTGCGTTGTACAAAGCTCGTTAAGCGCTATCAACCTCTTACATATCGGCTATCCGGGGGATAAAGTAAATCGCTATCCGCCCTCAAATTTCTTGGACTCCCACGCCCTAGTAGCAATCTCGTGCAATTTGTGCCTGCTAGCCTACCCTACACCCTCCCCGCCCCTCCCCCTCCCCTACCAAAACAAATTCCGCTGTTCTTGAACGAATTCACTGGTTTTAAAGAATAAATTTGTGTAAATTAGCATGCCATTCTACTTGCCCTATGAGTCGGTAAACGTGCACGACACATTTATTTATTCCCCAAGCTAAGACAATTACAAAGCAAAACCTTCATACCATCTTTGATTGCCAACGTTCCAAACGAAGTGATAACTGATCTGTCGTTCTTTACAACACAGTAATATTCCCCACAGTCCTCCTGTGATACATTTTTAATTACCAATTCATTCCGATTGCTTACACTGATCCTGTCGTTCATCTCCAAGGCTTTGCCATTTTTTCTCCAGAATATCTTCATTGACGAGTCGCTGGTTAAAGGTTTGCACCTTAACGTGGCGGTTTCGCCATATTGGAGTTCGTGATTTTTTACACCAATCTCAAAAAGGGGCTCCTCTGCAAATTTCAATGTAAAATGATTTAATCCTACTACCAGAGAGGTCTTTACACTTTATCCTTATCCTTATGTCTGTCCTCCCGTCTATTTTTCTCTTATTGTTAATCTTGTGTTCATCACCATAGCTATCCCAAAATGTATAATGTCTGTCCTGGCATTTTTAAATCTCCCGCCCATACTTTGTACTTCATTTTATCTCTACCAAATTTACAAAACTCGAAATAACAAGGAGTCAGTCTCCCTTTCACCACGAAATGAACATGTTATGAAACGTATGGAGTATTGTTTAAGCATTGTTGATTATTTAGCAAAGAGCTAACGTCATGTTCCAAAACTTTAGCGAATTTTTCCTCCATACTTTTTAACAAGCAGTAAATCTTGTTTGACCAACTCTTTAATGCTTACGATTAATATTCGGTGCTTGGAAAACCCAACCAAAATTTGCAACGAGCTTCGTTTGAAGTGCAATTTAGAAAAATAATTCACTTCCACTCCCTTGCATGACAGAAATGTATTGATTCTTATTACCTATAATTCTTAACGCGATAGCTTGAATTTGTCGACCATATATATTTCTTGCTTCGCAGGTATATTTGCCACTATCGCTTTTAGAGACTCCGACGATTTGAAGAGCGATATTTGGGAGACGTTGTGTTCCACGACGTAATATCGTGTTCTGGGAAATGGCAATATTGTTATGCAACCACGTGATGTTAACCGGAGGGTCGGATTGAATGTTACATGTAAGAGACACATTAGAATGTTCGACAGCAACAACATCATCTGCCTTTGTTATCACAGGAGGTCCTGAAAAAAAGTAAAATATGCTACAATTCAAACCCTGGTTGGCGAAATCATCTTAAAGCGAAATATAAAATATTGGGGAGGTTCGGGTATTCATGATCGCGCGATTGCGCGTGGGCGCGAGATTATTATTTAATGCAGTTTTTTTACTGACTAATTTGAGAAACACAATACACGAATATATCAGAATCTGGATAAAGATCCGATGTACTTAAACGTTGAAGGAGTTGTGGATCGCCTGCATACCAGGTTTGCTGTATTTTATAAAGAGAAGCTCTTTTAATTAAACTACGATTTGGGTGACTTCAGTTATCTTCAGAAACAGATTTAATTAAATCACGACGGCAAGCAACGCACAATGGTGAACCCAGTCCGACAATTTGGGTCCGACAACATTTGTTTAGAAATAGATTGTTTTCACGGTCTATGAATACGGAAATATTTGCATAGCATGACCAAATTGCCCGCTGGCTTCGCCACTGAGCCAGCAAACGACGCACGCAGAACGACGTAAGTGAAAAACATTACGACAATTTACTAGAAATACATACATGCCAGCCTAGAGCTAGGCCTTTACTCAGCTGGCTTTGGCAGATATCTTTGGCAGGTTTGGTTAATTTCGGGCTAGCAATTGGTAATTATCGCAATGGCCATTTGCCTCGTAAAGGCCTGGTCGATTTCACAAGTTCTCAAATTTGCCCCATATGCTCTTGACGTGTATAGAAATAAAAATAGTAAGTTTATACTATAAATGAATTTATTTTACCTGTATCGGTTTAAATTCGTCTTTAAGTTGCAAATAATTCAGTTTGAGGACGCAATAATTGGGCATATCCAAGTGGGGCAAATTCGGGGCAGGTTTTGGCAGTCAGATTGGGAAATCTGCTAGGCCTTCTATTTTTTTTGCTTCCGCCATTCCTCCGCCCCGCCCCCAAATCACCTAGTCCCAGTCTTCTCGTATGAAAAAGCGCTGAATATTAAAAAAATGATAAAAAAGAAGGCCTAGGTCTAGGCTGCATTCATGCAGAAACCCCTCGCTCATATTTTCCAAACATTGATTTAACATGCAGTCTAATATAAATAATTGATCAACACTGAACGAAGGGTCGCGCTTACTTCAATGTTGCCATGGCCACAAGATTATTTTAATTTTAATTATATTTTTTGTACAACAGGCGAAATATAGTTGAAAGATTGTTGCTTTTAACTATATATAACAATGAATTTACAAAATATATACTGTAGGTATGTTATTTTGCTCTTTGTGAGCTTTGATATAATGTAAACTTTAACCCAAATTGCTTCGTAAAATGTCTTGAAATGTTCATTAATTAATAACTAAACTGCTTTTGCAGATAAACCATCCTCGAAATCATCGATCCCAATCACTATGACGCGCTAGGCTAAAATCATGTAATACAAATGCTCTTATTTCCATGTTCATACATGATCTTGTTAAGCTACAGGAAAGCATTTCATCTCATCGACCACCAGATCCTAGTTAAGAAGATCCTGTCCATGAATCTGAGCAAATGCCTCCCCCTCCAATCCCCCTTGTGCCCCCCACGAAATCACATTGTCCCCCCCTAGGAAAAGTTCATTTTTCCTAAATTTATACAAACAAACCAGAGAAGAATAATAAATAGATAAACAGAAAGCAAGTTTTATATAGGCTTTATCCTTTGTCCTTGTTTAACAAAATCGATTTAAATTGTTACATTTTTCTATCACTAAATAATGATAAATTATTGTTAACAACAATTTTATTTTTTGGATGCTCAGAATCCAGGAGATGGCATTTCCGGGTTTCAAATTTCAAAAATTTTCTCGGGGAGTATGCCCTCACACACGTGACCATTGCTATCCTCCTCTAATAAGTAATGATAAATTATGGTTAATATTTTTTTACCTTTTGTGCGTTTTTTCTTTCTTTTATCTCAAATACAAGTACAGTTAGCATAAATTTTGGAGCAAATTTGCATGCTCAGAATACAGGAAATGGCATTTCCGTGCTTCAAATGTCAAACATTTTCTGGGGGAGTATGCCCCCAGACCCCCTCCCCCTATTCATGCGTGGTATGTCGGCCACACATGCGGCCTTCACCCATTGCTATCCCCCACAAATATATTATCTCACGGGAAGGTCCCTTTTGAAAAAATACCCCCCTCCTCCCCACGGAAATTCTTAAAAAAGCCCTGGTGTAGTTTACTGTTTATGCGACTTTTTATCAAACAGGCTGCATGCAACGTGTCAAATTGTCCTTCGATTGCTTCTTTGAATGGCGTGGATATCGATCTTGGTATATCATACTGACGCACAAGTTCTGCATCAGGGTTGTAATGTCGCAGTACCGAATTAGAATACAGCGCATATTTTAATATTCACAAAAGCATTCAGTTCAGCTTTTCTCCACTTCCGTGGTGTTCCCTTGTGTGGTAACTTAAACAGGGGAAACAATATCTCAGCGAAACCAGATACAGACTTACAGTACATACTAAAAAATACATGCATGCAGAAACCCTCGCCTTGCTGACAAAACCATTGTATTTTCCGAACATGAAGTACCTAAAGTAGTTGTGATGGTAACACGATAATTTTTTAAGAACATTCTTACCAATGAAAATCGCCTTAAAATATCACTTTTGATTATAAAATTAACAATTTCCCAACATATATATGTTAGGTATGTAATTATAAGTAATACAAGCTTCAATTTAAGGTAAAATTCAACCACATACAATTCACAAAACGTTCTAAAGTGTTCTTTATAAAACTAAACTGCCTTTAGCTATTAAATGGCTTTATCGATAAACTTTGAGTTTGTAATAAAATGATTTCAAATTCTCGCTTGCAAATAACTTTGCTTATTTTTTATTTAGAAAATTCAATATAATAAAAAAGGGAATCAATATTAAAGATACACTTAAATTATATGCTGTCTTGTTTAGTTGTTTCATATACGCAAAAGCCTTCGGGTTTTAAAGCCATTATAATATCAATATTTAAAACAAACTTACCTTCGTTAACGTCGGCTCCCTTCTTTTAGCCGACTCTTTCGCCTTTTCTTTCTTGAAATTTACAAAATCTTGCAGAAATACGAGCAAAAATGAAATATATTTGCAAGAAATTTATCAATCACCAAATCAAGAAATGTTTGCTATTTCGCTGTCGTCATGCAGTCGTTATAATGCAAACTTTAAATTGGACCAATCAGTGTCCGTTATTCATGACAGTCCGATATATTTTTTAGATCAGTGAGGATGACCACCTATCGTTGGTGACCGACGCCCGCGCTCATTGATGAACTTTAGACTTCGCTAATGCTTTCGTTTCCCCGGGTGTAAATAGCCGGGGGGAATTAGTACCCTCGCACGGCGCTTCGCGCCGTCGGCTCGGGGAAAAAGTTAGCAGTAACAATAAAATACTGAAGTTCAGAAACATTGGCCGCTGGTGTCGCATTCTGAATGCCTTGTATTGTCTCCTTTGTAGAGGAAATTCCAACTTTAAAAATGGTCTTTCCAAGGAACACAACTTGACCAAGCATGAAGTGAAACTTTTCTCGTTTGAGCATGAGGCCGCATTCCTGTAATCTCTTTCACCTGTAACAAGAATTGCATCAATGCGTGCGCAATAACTTGGTAGACCCTTCAAAACACTTTCGATCGTTCGTTGGAGATTTGATGCAATTCCGTTAACCAAATAAACAAGACGTTTGTATTGGTATAATCCTTGGTGGGTATTTATCGTTGTATACTTCCTCCTCTCGGGAATACGTTATAATTGGCGATGTATGACTGGGAAAGGTAAAGCTTTGCGTGTGTTTGTCCCCAGGGAGTTTCGCAAACATAGGGTTGTCATAATTTACTCTCTGTGACACTTGAACACCCTTGAGCTTTCCTACTGTACTATTATAAAAAAGGAGAGGGTACTGTTATATAATGTCCTTGGTAGTGGTTGGAATCACACTAAATATTATTTTGCCACGCCAATGTAAACTTTGCCATCATGTCTCGTCCTCGCAATAATGGGTCCTCAACTGCCCGAATTTTGAAGTCACTAACCAGATCTCCGCTTGGACGCTCATCTCCTTTTCCCGATGCATTTAATAACATTTACTGTACAGTGTGTATAAAAAAAAGAAGTAATCGCATTTCATCGCGCTATTTTGTCTGCATTTCTCTGCGTATGACCGAGATTTTTTATATTCGGAAAGATCAGTCTTTTATATGTCAAATGATATGTTCTTCATGCCAAATGGATAAGAAATGTGCAAATAAGAATCCGATAAAAAATGTTAATCAGAATATTTTCACCGTTGAGAGTTGGGTCTTTATATCGGACTCGTACTTGCTTAATTATTATCCACTTGGCATAAACAAACATGTCATTCAATAGCTAAAAGCCTGATCTTTCCGAATGTGAAAAATATTTGTTCATACATCGAGTAATTCACGTACAATAGCGCGCTGGATTTCGATTACCTTTTTTTATTTTTACTCTTCATGTAGACTGTTGGCATATGTGAAGATGTTTAATCGTCTGAAGAAGTATCTGCATGTATCATTTGTACATGTAATTTGGTAGGTTTTTATGCTTATTTATTCCATTCCTTTCTCTATTCTTTTTTGTAAAACAGACTATTGCCAAGTGTCCAGTATTTTGCAGTAATTACAAGTAGAACTGGTATGGGCACACTTGATTAGCCATATGCTATATCCATACCTGAAGCATTTTTCTTTCCTGTTTTGAATTTGTTAGTAGACTGTCTATTGTTATGCTATGGAGTTGCTTGATGCTGGTTAATACTATGAACCGCTTCAATTTTTGCAGGTACTTCGTTAAGTGGAAGCTGCTAAGACTTTTCCTCTTCCAACTCATGCGCCCGAGACACTTTAAGTTATTGATCAAATAAGTAAATTGCTGAGCGATGGCTTTAAATCCTCGTCACCAGTTTGTAGTGTACTGTAAGTAGCTGTTCGTGTAGTCGAGTAAAACCGTAAATACAAGCAAATTACAAACGTAATAAATTATTCTATTTAATGTAACTTTCTCATTTTTTAACTTTAATAAGTTCTTCTAAAGTCTCTCAATTTTTTTAGTAGTGATATTTCTGTTAGTTTACTTTAATTTAACTTGTTTATCGTCGTTCCTGATTGCAAAAAAGAACAAAAACCTCCCACGAATCGTTCAAGCTTTTACGGAAAATGGAAGTTATTTTTTACGAAACTTTGAAAGGGCTTTTATCTCAAACATTTTCTTTAGTTTCGGTTAACTTAAAGAAGTAAGGTTGCAGTCCCTACCTTCAATATTTACGTGGTAGTAAATAGTAATCGATCCAGCGGAATTTCGCACCGTGCAAGTATATGTCCCTGCATCGCTATGACGGGCTCGCGAAATGAGATAATAGTAACGTCCATGGAAATTTAGATATTTTCCATCTTTTTGCCAGCCGTGTCGTCCAGCGTTCCAACACGTCAGTTTCTTCTGCGTTCCAAGAGGCAATGAAATATTTCTGCTGGTAAACGAAGCTTTTGGCGGAGTGTTTGAAATTGCTAAATAAAAAAACAAAACCTGAATGTCTGCATGGTACAGCTGCTTTTGGTTTCAGTGCAATATTTGCTTTTTAATGAAACTTCAAAATTTCATTTGATCATCTGACTAGTCAAGTGCCGTTTGCTCCAGGACGGTTGCGAGGTTGAAACTCGGAATGGGGGCGTATACACTTTAAGGAAGAGTAGGATGTTAAAATTGGTGAGAAGATCGTAAATACATAATTTAGTAGTGAGCATGCCAAGCTTCATCGGGACTGAATAACATTTGGCATTAGGGTTAGGATATATTTTAATATATTCAGTTTTTGGCCAGCAATTTGGAAGACAAACTTTGTTCTCAAAGCGGAGGTTAAAAGCTAAATTCGATTGTATTAGTCTAAAAGTTGTTCGCTTTTCATGAAACATAGCATGCCGAGAGTCTTCTGAATTCCTTAACAAAATGCATTCGCGTAAAATTATTAGTTTCTTCACAAGTCACCAAAAATCGGAAAAGCTCTTTCACATTCAGCAGAAGAAGGAAACAATCAAGATTCACGTAAAAATACAAACAACATTAACGATTTAATATTACTCCGCAAGTGAGTTGCACATCAAGTATACATTCTATTCTGCTGCTGAATTGTACGAAGCTACAATCATGGACAAATTTACTCGGACAAACATAGCAAATAAATTATTTTTTGAAACATTTTCATATATACTGTACTTCATAAAGTACCTCCTCCCCAGAAGCAATGTTCAGTCATTATGGCAGCTATTGCGGTATCTGTAGCAAGAACATTGTAACCGGGGAACGGCCAATAGGCTACCGCTGAATATGCGTATAATTATTTGATTGCCTTAAATTTCAACCATGTTTAATCAGCGTCCGCGTGTTATTTTGTCCAGGATTGTAGACGTGTTGGTAGAAAGACAATCAAGATCAACGTTAAAAACAAGAATTTCTTATTAAATCGAAAGTTTGCAAAAAAAAATTCGAAAACTTACAACCACGAATTACGGAATAAGGTGGCTCCCTACAGTTAATTTTAAAGACAATGGCAACGAAAATTTTTATTGGCTATTTCAATCCTAGTTGACGGCCAAACTATGAAAATATTATCATTTCCTTCTCGAACTAGCCTCCTCCGCAGGCCTCTCTATGGGTTCTAGCCTGCGAATGGGTTTGAAAAAAAATTTTCTGGGAGAGAGGCCTGCCATAAATCGAACAAAATGGACGTGTCAATGTACCTAGTGGCCGTGTCAATGTACCCCACCCCCTAAGTAGGCTTTGACCCTTATTATATATTCAGTTTGAAATCTTCGGGCGAGGAGCGAAGTTGGCGATTTTAAAAAACATTAAAAACTTTAAAAATGTTTTATAATGCGTCGGATTGTTCAAGCTATACGAAAATTAGTTGGTAAATTGAAAGGATGATATGTCGCAATGTCTCTCGTGGTCTAAAAACGACGTGCAAATTCTAAATCGCTCGCTCGAAGCAGCCAAGTGTTTACAAATTATGTCTACAAATATGTATAATTTGAATATATGGGTTCAGAGTTCCGCTCAATTGCTCAGCCCAGGAACTACAATTTGAGGAAATTATCTGGCATAATTTCGAACGCAAAACGAAGAATGGAACGATACGAAAGGTATAATTTGTTTAATAAAGGGATTTTATTAAATTGTATTGTTTTCTGGAATAATATTTTGACATGTCTAAGGGGTTGAAAGTTTGATTATATTTCACTAATTTTAGTCAAATCATCAGGCATTTGGCAACATGCTCAGTGAATAGATATATAGAAGAAAAAGATCTTTCTGTTGAAGCAACCATTTCAATAGGTGAGGAGAGAAATATCAAATACAGAAATTTGATTACTACAAACATCAAGATTTTGTTGGCATCTTAATAAATTATAAGCTTGGTTTACATATGCCTGCGGTATGCCTGCACTATCATTGTTTACAGCTGTTGGTGCATACATTCTTTTGTGAATTATTTGGTTGAACTTCTAACGACAATAGCCAGCCAACGTACCGTAGGTATATGTTAACCAGGTTTCACTTGGTTGAATAGTTAAATTGGAATTGCAGTTTTTTTAACTCCCTCACCCTCTTAATATCATGTGAATATGCTAAATCCATTAAGTTGCATTGTGGCACCATGCCCGTGAAAAGCAGTTGGCACATGTAACAACATCTATCTAATATATTATATGCCTAGTTGTGTTACACTTACTGGCCACATGACATGATCCATGATTTGATAAATAAATGAATTTATGATGTATCTGCATGTTCTCTAATTATATGTATCTCCCTTGTTCATGTTCAAATAAAATTGTTCTTGACATATATTGGTTTAAAATATAGTAAATCTAGGTTTTTCATGTAAGAGCCTACAATGCCAGGGGCCCACAACAAGTTCTCGTTGTCTCATCCCTGGCAGGGGAGTGCCTGCTTTCACTCTGTCTAACATCAGACAATTTTACTCTTCAATGGGAGAGTGCAGACAATGGGTTAATCTAAAGCTCAGGGATGGATTTACTGGGGGGGGAGGTTGCCCCTCCCTAGCCCTGGCCAGAGGGGGTGTAGAGGAGGTGTTATTTTTCATGATAAGCAAAAATTATTTGAGACAAAATGAGATACAGTAATTTGAGTAATAACATGATGATAAGCGAACTGTGAACAACAATTACAATTCAAATACAGTAGTCAAGCAAGACTTTGCAGTAGTGAAGCAAGTTGATGGGCGGGCAGCACATGACCGACACAACTCAGCACCAGAGCTGGTAGAGTATCCCCCCCCCCTATCAGATCATGCTAGATCCATCCCTGCTAAAGCTAATACCAAATGTATTCATTTTTGTAAACTTACAGTTAATATATAGTTCAATAATTGGAATTTGGACAGAGTGG